CGGTCTGTTATTTATGATTTGAGCTTGAGTCTATTCAACAGTCAATTACGCTTATCTAAGAACAACATTCTGCCTTTGTTATAATAGGACACTTAAAACAGATATTGTAAATATTTTGCTGCCCTGTTGATCAAGTTGAAAATTGTATATTGATTATAATACAATACATTTAAAAAACAGGGTATACAAAAATTACTAATAACTAACAACAAAAATCATTGAAAAGTACTCAACATCATTGACTTTCATGGAGATCATTCATTTCATCCGCTTGCTTGTGTTGGCCTTTTGAATTGCCTTGTCCGTAGTTTCTTAACTTTTTCTTATTTAGATTCTCCACTTAATGGAGGTGATTGAAATCCTTCACTTGATCTACGTACTGGAGATCGTGTATTTATGGATTGGATTTTCCTCTTGGACTCTTTGTGGGCCCATTACGCAGATGTAAAGGGAGTGGGTCCATCCGGAGACGATAGTCCTCTCAAACTTAAAAGGGAACGGAGTAGTACGAGAAATTTGTCATTTTTAACACAACTAATTTTGATTCATTTTGCTTATTATAAAGTTGAGGGGTTTCTTCTTTCTCTTGTCTCGGGGAGACTTCCACCGTACTTGAAGTGTTTAAACCAAGTCTGTTTAATACCTAAAGACATTAATTTGTTAATACCAATTTTGATTATGAACTTTTTGATTTCAGTAGTTGATTTCATTAGTGAATTTACGAAATGGTGTATTTATGAGATATTACGTGAAATAATATTAAATTGAAATTTATATTTCCTCGTACGGTACCTGATTTTCTCAGAAGGCACAAGAGAAATTTATCTCGACTTCGTTTGTGAATATAATCAATAAATAAAACCATTTTGTAAATAACTGACACACAGACTGTGTTAAAGAAATAACAATTTCGGTACGAAGGACCCACAAAACTTTTCATTGCAATATCGACATCTTACAGCTTCGCTTGCCTAAAAATGGAATGAAAATAAAGTATAACGAATGGCCCGAAGTTAAAGCACGTCGTGACGATGACCGTAGGGGAAGTCGCAGCCTAGGTTGTCCAAGTAAGAGATTGAAGGAATTCAGTGTGTGTTAAGAGCATTCTAAAAAACTAGAGGTAGAAGAAGAAGAGGGGCGATGCATGTGGCTATCTTCGTCTTCTGCCTTTCATTTATTATTGTCATTATTCTCCCACTACTCATTCCACATAAACATCATTTACAACCCCCGTCCATCCAACGCTGGAACCGCGCATTCGACGAGGAGCAAAGTAAGGAGAGAGAAAAGAGCTGTACCTGCGAGAGGCCGTAGTCTTCGGGGAGGAAGCCGGGCGGAAGCGCGGAGACGACGGGCCGGATGAGCGTGACGGAGGCGCGCAGGCGCGGCCGGTCGGACGGCCAAGTGTAGCGCAGCGCCGACAGAATGCGCGCGTACAAGGCGTCCAGCGCCGCCATCTTGTACTCCGTGCTGAGGCCCGAGGCCGTGCTGATCTGCGCGCAAAGACGCACGCGCGCCTCCCAGCTCTCCTGCGCGCGCAGCTGCTCCCGGAGACCCTGCACAAAGACAACACTTAGGTGAAGGATTGCAAAATCCATAATGACAGTTTTCCTGTCTTAAAATCATATGATCAACCAAATAAAATGAATAAGCATAGAACGTAGTTTATATCTGCCTCATAAAACTAATCAATTAGTTGACACATTTTCTCAACCAAGAGAACGCTCGAGCAATAGGTAAATCTCACTCAAAAAGCACGGTCATGGAAAGTGAGTAGAGGATTTAGTAAAACGTTCCAGTTTGAAAATTAGAGCATACAATCTATCCTGTCGTGACAAAAAATCCGGAAAAATAATTTTATTAGGACTACTGAAAATATATATATCATTTAATTTGAATTTGAAAAACAGCGCAATTACTATACATTTTATTTGACTCGTTTCTATATGTAGTAACCCGACTGCAAATACAAGCACTTTATTTCACCAGTCATTTTTTATTAATTATTCAACAAATAATGCAATTAATTAATATTAAGAGACTTGTCAACGTGGAGTTTAAATAAATGTATCTTTTATTTTATGCTTTGAAATCTTGTGCCGTAGAAACGTGGTTATTAGGTCACTTTACCAAAACGCTTCTCCGACCTTGCGAAAATCACAATGGACTAAATGTAATTATCAGAAGAGTACATACTTTTTTGTATTCTAGAATTTTTAAACGACCTCTTTCGTTACAAAAGATCTTCCATAAAATGATATCTTGCAGAGCAGATTTTGACTTCGGTTTGGTTTGTGACACGAATAATTGAGTCATCACACATTCAGCCAATCCGAGCGAGAGAATCGAAGGGACTGGTAAACAGAACTGCCAACCACCGTTTCACCACAGATATCAAATACCGTGGCGTCATAATATAGTTGCTTCCGAAAATTAATTTTGATTCTCTTATAAATTTGTAATGCTCTTGAACACAAAATAACATATGCAACGTCTTTAATATTGCTTTATTGCATTCCTACAAATTTGAAAACTCGCTCTATCCATCGCTTGTTTTTAAAAATATCATGCAATAAAGTTTACCATCATAAACTAGTAGCATAATGTACGATATTCAAATCATGAGCAAGGAAGTATTGTTAATCTCAGAAAATGTTCAATTATGTTGACTGTAGTAGTGAACGCTGTTATTATATGAAAAAAGTTTCACTTTCTCTCACCTTCTTTGTAAGAACTAGTGGAGCTACAGTAGCACGTACTTATTAGAAACGGCTACGTAATATTGAACATCTCAGCTATTACTTGCAAACGTCAATTTCATCCAATTCAGACAATGTGTCTGTAATGCATATCAGCATTCATTTCCATAGTCAGAAGCAGCATTAATTTGTTACATTTACAAATGAAACAAACAGGAATACATTTGACTGGTAGAGTATTCGCAGCAAAATACATAAAAGGGACCAACGAACTATTTTCAGCGCAGTGTTGACAAACCTATGTGCAGTACGTTTGACATATATACTTGGCGATTTTTTTTGTCAGTCCTTGGCAAAAATACTTACATGCATCTGAATTCAGATTTGAACTTATTTATGGGCTAGTCATAATGCATTATACTCATTTGATAAATAACTATAATACTAGTAAACTAATTAAATTACTAATGTTCTATGATTTGTAGTATGAAGTTAATTTAATACCGCCTTATTATATACTGTCACCGCCTGAAATGAAGAGCAGAAAAATAAAACTTTAAAGTTGAATCACATTACTTTAGTATTTTTATTTCAAAGTTTGAATAAAGTAGTCTCTGGGGCTCAACTCATCTAATACAATAAACATTTAAAGTAGTACAATGAACGCTCTATATATACGTATATTTATACTTTTTTACGTATAAATATATAATAAATCCTTACGTTTTGGGAACCCTTGTTTAATTTTTCTCACTCCTCACAAAATGTTTACACAAACCTAATTTTTATAAAAAATGGATAATCCTCGTTATACTGTATTACTTTCGTTGAAATTTTGAAAGACTATAATATGGAATGTATTGCTGGTGAAATGCTATATGCAATAGGTATATATAAGTGACTTCTCAGTCAGTGAAAATATGTATGTTCTATACTCCTAACACTGATCAAAAATTTGGATTATCAAATAAGGTTCAAATCACTTCTAAAAGGCTAATTTGTAAACGTACAACCAGCTCGACAGTAAATAAAACTGTTTTATCTTGTCGCCGCCAAGATCGCACCGTTCAATAATGAACTTCTCAAATATCCATTGCGACATTGTTCGGTAAATATCAATTTAGATTTGCGGTTTGCTTAAAAAAATTCATCACTATATTGAGAAAAACGGTAGAATACAGTAAAAATAGAATTAATTTTATTATTTTCAATTTTAAATTGAAATTAAAATTTAATTATTTTTCATACCGTTTGGATCCATTCCTAATTTTTGGGAATTTCTCTGGCTTGTGTTTGGTGGGATAATTGAATTTATTTAATTAATTTCAACCAGAATCGCGAAATCTACCTAACATTTTATCAAACAAATGTACCAGACTTTTTTAATGAGCTCATTGTTTCGAACAGATTTTGTTTAAAACATCTCCATCTTCTATTTTGTAGTTTCGAAATATTTTTACAATTACGCGCGCAAAATTACGCGAACACTACTAATATTTTAAAAAAAGTTAAAGATGGCCTTATTTAGAGATCTGTCCTACAGAAATTTTTTCATTTAAGAAATTAGTGGTGCTAAAACAGCACGTACGTTTTTGCTCATATATTCAAGCAAAATTTCCGCAAAAGTATTACCATTTTCGAAAAATAGTACATGGATTTTTTTCAAAATACATTTTTAAGGAACATATTTCATTAAAGGGAAATGCCTTCATTATTACTTTAGTTGCAGGAAAACTCGAAAGAGAAGACTGATGTTTCAAAAATTGCAAAAGTTAAAAATTTTTTCGACGACTTCGTACAACTAATGTACTGATGATTAGATTTTTACTTTCCCATATACGTACGTATATACGAAGTAATAAACATAATATTGGGAAAGTTATGTAATGCTGAGGAAAATCGATTTCGCGATTTCAACGGAAATACACGTTTTGTGGTCCCATAATACCGAAAGTGTTTTTGTTTTCTTCAAAATATCCGGCCGTCCGAACGACCGGCCGTCTGTCTCTACGTTTGCTGTATGTGAATATTAAACCATGCGTGGGACTTTTTCAAAATTGAAGAATCCCCTCTCCAAGTGTGTCGAGACAAGACGGAGATTTTGAAAAATATTCCTGAAAATTTAGGGGTACATGAAGCCCGCCGAACATTTTCAAAATTTTCTCAAAAACTGCTCCAAATTTTTTCTTTAAATTTCTCGTAAGAATGGAGTAACATACTTATATTAACGTTGGTATATATTATTAGTACTACTATAAGAGTGATGTTGAATAACTAGTACTAAGGGCCACTTCCACTTACCTGCAGATGCGCTTTCGCCGTGTCTGGGAGCATAATTTGTGCCATGTGGAGCAATAACTTCTCCTGCAGAGCTCTTCTTCGTTGAAGTCCTCTTCAGGTCCAGCATCGTCTGGCAAACCAAGCAAATGTGGTTGCGATTTATGCCAGGACGACATTTCAGTATTTTCACTATATGAACAGTTTTTCTCCCTTTATATCACGAACATTTATACACATGTTAAAGAGTAACAAAACCAAATATTGAAAATTATAATTAATCCATTGTCCTGTTAAATCTGGGAACCAAAAGATCGTACTCTTCGGTCCATACTAATCTTAACTTAATTATGCACCATACATAAAACTTAAAGTTTGGCCATGTTTTGAAGTTAATTTAAGAAAAGAAATCAAGTAATATCAGTATGAAAGATGAAGTAACAACTCCGGAAATTGTCTATTAAATTCTTTAACGCTTCGATATTGATATTTCACGATAGCAATCCGAATAATGAATGAAAATATGAAATTCCACAATAAAAAAATAATTCTTACTTTTCAAAGAGTGCATACAAATACTCCTATTGTCAAGTAATTAGCTTATTATTTATTTAAATTAAATTCATTTATATATTTGCTTTTTCCCGTCATTTCTTATTCGAAGGTTTTTCATAAATTTAATATCTATTAATGCATTTACTTATTATCGTAAAAAATATAAACAAATGTTTAGATTATTGGGGGAGAAATAACAAGCAGCTAACTTCAAATGACGTACCCCAAAGCAGTCAACGTTAATTGTAAAGTTCTTTTGCTCCGCACATCTTCCCGAACAAAGGATCACTGGAATAATTGTAAGATCGTGGTCAAATCGCATTCAGGTTTTACTACTTAGTAACAGAAAATGTAAGCAATGGACAGTGCAGATCATTGCTTCGATAGTCGGAATGAAATTCTGATGCATATCTAAAAAACCTGAATGGTGTTATCCTACAATGGAACAACTGTGAGCGGGTCGACAAAACACAACATGTACTCTATTTACAAAAACCAGCAATGCCTTTCCAGCAAATTAACACTTGAAGTTCACTTGTGACTGCAATTCACTTGTTGGCAACCATTTCGCTCGCGAATGTCGGCGTGCCGCCATCGACATCTTGGTCATGGGCGCGCAAGTTGCGATACGGTGCCGAGTCCAGGACGCCCACACGTGGGCCTCGTGCTCGCCCAGCCTGGCCTCGAGCCGCGCCGGTCCGCCTCCAGCGCCAAGAAGGCTTCCGTACGAGTAAGCCTAGCAGCGTGAAGCCCCCGGTCTCGCTCGATGCCCAAGAGAGCGCTCCACATGCTGTGTACCACATAACAACGGAACCAACTACAAACTTCTGTTACATCGATTAGCGATCGACAAGAACATAGGCATAATTAGGAGAATAATCTAATTATTAAATTGTAAATACATTTTTTGCACATCTTCTCATTTCCGATTATAAAATATGAGTTCCTAACGGGATTCACGGCCATAAGCCCTGATAACTTATTTATTATAAATAATAAGAAACATCATCTTTTTACTAAAAGTCACACTTTCTGCAGCTTTTAGGTAGACTTTCTATAACACTAAGTAAATGGTAAGGGGGGGCGGAGACTAACGTACATACAACCAAAATAATTACACATTAGCATTAATAAGAACCTGCATAGAGCAAGTGACAGCCAATAGGCATTCCTTCGACTAATCTTCAAGTTGTCAGAAATTACAACAACACAAAAAGCTTACATATATAGGAAATTAAATTCTGTTGTGCCAAACGTAACCAATCCCATCGGGGTCGGTAGACACTAAGAGAACTTACAGGCATTAAAGAATCTAGAATAGAGCACAGTACAATCGCCCTGTCTTTATACGGAGTTGCAACAGGACAGCTCGCGCCCAGCCCCGCGAGCCAAGGGCTCAGCGGGTCGCCAGCCCTCTCGCCAGGGAAGCCACGACCACGCCCGCGCTTCCAGTCGCCCTTGGCTACCGCGGACGGCAGCGCACACGGCCTTGCTGGCGCGCTCCAGCTCGTCGGCCACGGCGCCCACCATGCAGGCCGCAGGGCGTCGCTCGCCTGCCCGCCGCCAGCGCGGCGCGGGCCCGTGCGGCCGGCGGCTCGGCGACGCCTTGGCGCAGCTTCGGCGGCGTGGCGCCGCCAGCGGCGCCGGCCTTCTTCTCCTTGGCCTCCTTCGCGGCTGTACTCGCGCGGCGCCGAAGGTGAGCGCGCGCCACGTCCTGGTGGGCTCAGCAGGAATGTCGCAGTCCGCGCGCCGCTCCTGCTGGTCTCCCACCGCCATCATGGAGTCCATGCCCAGCTCGGCCAGCGTCGATCCAAGCCATGTTGCTTCGAGGGTCGCGAGAGCCCAGCATGGAGGCCATGGTGGTGACCAGTCGTCATCCGGCCCGCGCCCGCAGCGCTTCTCCGCCACACATGGACCCACGACGGCGCCGCTGCCAGCCGTCCGGCAGCCAGGAAGCCGTCCAGCACGGTCGCAGGCACGGAGCGCTGCCAAAGCCGCGCTGCCACGCGCTGCCGCGCGTCTCCAGCACGCGTCGTCGTCCGCGCATGTCGGCCACCACAGCCGCCACGTCGCACCACGGCGCCCACTGCACCGCCGTCGCCGGCAGCCATCGCGCCGCCCGCGCGCGCCGCGCACGCGCTCCATCCACCGCGTTCGCCCAAGCCCTAAGTGTCTGGCCGCGCGTTGCCGGCCGCAGACGAACGCTCGAGAACAGCAACGAAGTGGCGCAGGCGCGGCACAGGCGGCGCGGACGCGCCGGTCCAGCTGCACCGCCGGCCGTCGTTTGCAGCGAAGATTCGGCGAACGCCGCGCCGTCTGGTTCTCCAAGAGCGCGTCGCGCAGCACCAGGCCAGGTTGAAGATGGCGGCGACGGGCGCGACGGAGCCCGGCGGCCGCGCAGAGCGCCTCTGCGCGCGGCGCGTGGAGGATCGTCGGTGCGCACGAAGGCGCCCACGCCTTGGCGCGCCCACTGCTTGGGCAGGCCCCCGGCGGGCCCCCCCGCCTTGGGGTAGCCCGTGGTGGCGCCGGCGCCGCGACCACAGCACCAGGGTTGGGCGCGCCGCGCTTGCACCATCCAGTTGCGCCCAGTCGAGCCCAGCGCCTGCAGCCCGCCTGCGCACAACGGCGTCGCTTGAGCGCGATGCCCCCCGCCGCCCGGCCTGCCTGCCCCGCCGCTGCACCTACCCACGAGCTCCGTAGGGCGTCCCGGTGGCAGTAGAAAGCAGCGGGCGGCGGGCAGCGTGAGGGGCTTTGGAGAGGGCGTGGCCGCCGTCCTCCTCGCCCTCCCCGCACTCGATCACACCTTCCCGATGTGGCTTGCCCGCCGCATGGCCGCAGAGTTTTTTAGTGAAGCATGAAACTAATTGCCTGCTAACACGTTTTCCATTCCCAGCTCTCGGCGCGACGATATTTCTCTTGGTGAAAAATAGTTGCGTTTGTGTTCAAAAATTAATTGTACTCTTCCAATGAAAGTGTATTATTTTTCCTGGCGATCACAATCTATTGCCTAATACTTTTTACTTAAATTAGAATAAAATTATGTGTTCGAATAATCATCTTCTTCAAATATTTTGTAGTTTTTTCCACGCAAATAATTAATTTTTGTTGTTCGAGGATCATTAGACATTATTACTGAAGGTGATAGACTACTTGTAATTATTATTAACTGTATTACTATTTACTTAATTTTTACACAGAAATTAACTTTGGGTAACTCCCTCACCCACATAAACAAATGATTTGTATGAAATCAACTTATGATTTGAGAGGATTTGCACTTGGATTTTAAATTGATAACATATTTTCTTGCTATTTCTGGAGATTGAAACGATTTGGCGCTCTTTTTGCTTTCAGTTTTAATTGTGTTGCTGTCAAAAGTGTGCAAATTTTTCAAATTTAATTGGATGTAACGAAGTCTTTACTTCATCGCCCGTCTCCATTGGTCGCCGGGGAGAACCTCCGTCTGCACAGGTCGCACAATTCCGCTTTTCAGCAGTCGGCTCTACGCGCTCGCCTAGAGCTCTTTGACGCGGGGCGTGTCGGCTCCATGATCGACCTCTGTCCACAGGGATCCGTGATGCTCGCCTTGCCGCAGAAGCAGCCGCATATCCTGCAATTTTCGTAAAGCGCATTGCAAGTTCATGAGCAGGCACCAGAAATGCAAATCAACTCGTCACTGCCAACAGTAACACGCCACCCCCCCAAGAGGGAAATTTTGCAATAGCCTAAGAACGATGACTGATACTGTAGTTTTTGTCTTGAATCACATTTCTCTTGTGTTGGAAAGATATTTGCATATGTTCTTGGCGAATTGGTGACCATAGTGGTCCCGGTTAATAAATTAATTTACTGATAATGCGAACATGGTGGTAGCTGGCGACGAAAATTCACGAAATTCTAAACGGCATTTCATTGTTTAAAAACACATTACTATATTGATATATATATTAAAAACTATATATATATAATAATATATATATATATATTATATATCTATATATATATATATATTGTGAATGAGGCGATTTTGTGTTCCAAATGGCGTTTGTAATAAATATCACAAGATTCCTTGGAGAATGTGGATGAGAAAAGCCTATCTTCACTGCCATATCAAAAAAAGACCTTGGTGGCTACCGGATGGCGGTGTTGTTCATCATGTGACGCTTGCCCGATCTCGAGGTAAGCGTCCGCACGGCGCAGGCAGCGCAGAGACGCTGCAGCTTGTCGTCCGCCCAGCATTGAGCACGAGGTCGACGCGCGGCCGCTTGCGGCCGCATCGCACCAGCGCTGAAGGAAGAGGTCGCGCGCGATCTGGCCGATGTCGTTCCGCCGCCATCTGCGGTCGCAAGCCGTGCGTGGTCACTGGAGCGCCGCTCCGGCGCGCGCTCCAAAGGAGAGCCGGAGTGGTGGAAGAGGGGCGTGCGGGTACTGCGGGAAAGGCGCGCCGCAGGAAGTCCCTTCTTCTGCTGGGTGCCGACGGTGGCGAAGACGCGGCGGCCGCGAGCCAGCGCCAGGGAAGCGCCGCCTGTTCCGACGGCGCCGGCTGGCGCGCTGCACCCAGCACGCTCTCGCCCGCCGCCATGCGCCCCACCATCTCAAGCGCGAACACCACCTGCGCACCGCAACGCACCTTGGCGACGCCCCCTCGCGCGTGTGGTCATCAAGACAATAAAAATACTACGCCAACATGTGTGATTTACGATGAAAAGTGGAAAAATCTTTAGATGATGTTCATGGCATATCAAATTCCGGCCCGTTTTCTATGATTTTCACTGTTCATTTTAACTATTATTTTTATTGATGTATCACCAGTGTGTGCGACTTTGAATTTTTGTGAGACATTCGAAAACTAGAAAATTTTTTTTAAAAATTAAATTTAGATAAAAATTTACCAAGATAATTGTTTTTATATCGTGTACAATTGTAAAATAAAAGTTAATGAGTATGCATTTATTTTTAATCATTTAATTTCTTTCATGTTCTTACGTCGAAAGATGTGTCTTTTGGAGTACTAAAAAAATATTTTCAGCCAAATTTTTTGACAGAAAAAAAATGTGGAACTGCAATAATTTACTTTGCAGCAATTGTTTTGTTCAGCAATTACATGGTACTCAAACATACAAAGCTGTCCTAGTGTTTCACAATCACTGAACACGATACCGTATAAACGAGACTGTAAAGGATTTTGTTGATTCGTCTTCAGAAGAAGTATTCTCGCAAGGCGTTTAATAAATGAAAGAACAAAAACCTTTGTTCTGAGACTAGTACCAATACTTGTTACATTGAATACTGAACACAAAATAAATTTAAATTTTTGTATAATATTAAGTATGAACTTAAATAATGATAATGATTTCAAATTGAAAATGTGGGGATTTGGAGTGTACTACTTCCAGTTAGATTGAGTTTCTTCATTGTATAGTAAGCATTCTTTGGCAAACTTTGATATGATTGAAAGTCACTCAATGCGGTCTCAATAGACTTTTCTGATTTATACGATGTTAATAGAAAATTATGGAAAGAAACTTTGAGGATATGTTTCAGGGGCAGAAATAAATGCTTGAATTAATTTGTTTTATGAATCTTACCGTTCCATAAGCAGCAGGTATGGTGGAGGCCTCAAGGAGAGTCATTTCATCAGGTACATCCCATAAGAAAAAATCAGGAACTATTATCTCCGTAGTCACACAACCTCCCATTCTCATTCCCATGACACGGCGGCCGTTTGACAGGCGACCAGAGAATTCGAACCCAATTACAGCGTCCTGAAGGTGAAAGAAAAATCAATATAAAAGTGGTTGTCTAACGTACTTACGGTGCTACAAAACAATCAACTACACAAAGGCCACTTTGTAGATTACACTATTGATCGGGACGGGCTAAGGAGTAACCTTTAGTAGTTTTGAAATAAAATAAATATCCATAAATTTTCCAGAGGCGAGAAGAAAATACGTGAGCAGGAGAAGCGAGTATTCTTACAACTAGTATATAACATTAATATATTTAATAAAATTTAATTATAATTTATTATGTACCTAATATACATGATAAAACACTACTAAAAATACCCTACAAACAAAT